TTCTAGCAAACAGTACTGATTTTAACCTGAAAAAATGTCAAAATTGCCTTGGGCAGCAAGTGGTTAATATGATGTGCACTGTGATGTACAGTTAAGAAATTAGGATTCTTGGTGTACCTGTAACATCCTTTTATTGGAGTACATCACAAGCCTCAGGGATCCCTCATCTTTTTGTCAGTTTCCTTATTGCTTGCTAGAAAACTTAGGCTTAGAGTTGTTATGCCTGGGCAGGGATTTCCTGTTTCTTTGGCCAAAGTTCATTTACCTGAAGGTGGCAACATTCAGTAGTCATGAATATAAAGTGTCTTGTAATGTACTCCAAAAAAAAGATTTTAGATAAACCAAAATATCTAATTTATTCAACTGTATCCAATAAGAGGACAACTCAGTCCAACTGCATTCCACATATTAGCACAGATGGTTTGAACTGAACAGATGGGTTGTCTCGTAGCTGAGAGGCCTTAACTTTATTCATAGAGATAAATACAAAGAGTTTCAACATATTGGGCTTCAAGTAGCTTGTTTTATTCTCTAAAAAAAGACTACAAATACACGCATGGCATTAACATAAATCACAGCAGACTTATCTAGGTGATAGAGATTCCTGTATTCAGATTTTATAGCTAATCCTGAACTGTATAGGGAAACTGAAAATAAGGTCCCTGTTAAAGTTGGAGCAAATTTGGCTGCTGACATTTCACTCAAGCTAGTGTGCAGTAAATGCATCAAAACCAATAAACAATATATAGAGAAGCTAATGTGTAAACAAAGCAACACAATTGAGGTTTCTGCAATGTAAACAAAAATGCAACACCTTAAACCACAGGTGTCAAACTGACAGCCCTCAAGCTGTTTCGAAACTACAAATCCCATGAGGCATTGCAAGATTGAAAGTTACAAGCATGACTCCCAAAGGTAGAGGCATGATGGGACTTGTAGTTTTGCAACAGCTGGAGGGCCTCCAGTTTGACACCCTTGCTTTAAACCAACCTTTCTCAACCTTTTAATCCCAGAGGAACCCTTGAAGTAATTCTCAGACCACAGTGAACCCTTAATAAAATTATATCTACAACCCATGGCACATTAGCAAGATCACCTAGTTATAGATATAATTAAAAAGAATAAAAACAAGAATAAAGTGTATGGCATAGTTCGAGTATATGACACTGAAGGTGCATCATCTAAAACACCTCTTGCTTTATATAATTTTCAGTAACAATAACAAAATGAAATTGAAAAATAATGTATAAGAAAAACACAAACATTGGTGGTGGAGAAATGCTTTCATATATTACTTTTCAATGAAGGGTTCTCTTACTTGGGTGGTCTGGGAGAGAACCCTTACACCTATGTTCAGTAAGAGCAAGATAGCCTCTTACATTTCTGCCCAATGAAGGAATGCCACCCTTTGAGGCAGCCATAAAATATAATTTGTGTCAAGCCAGTTTTTTTTTTTTTTTTGAAGTCCGTGTCAAGCCAGTGGCTCTGCTAGGTAAATCTGCCACTGTCAGGGAACCGCTTGTAGCTTATGGAGGAACAATGGTTGAGAATGGCTGCTTTAAACAATTTCTGTGTAATAAAAACACAGATAAAATAATGCAGCATAAAATCACACAGCCCTCAGTTTTACATTAATAGCCCTTACGACACATTAGTACAGATCACAAACTAAGAAGAGATAGTTCCACTGAACTGTAGCCGGTTAATAGCTTATAGCAGTTCTACTATCCTACTCCCCATCTAGTTAGTCATTTTAATATACTGAATTGGAACATGCATATAGAACACGGCCTTGAGACCGATACTACTTGTGGCTAGTCTGTGATCAGTTTTCTGAAAGACCTTTATGACTGGTGCAAACAATTTTAGAGTTATACCATCTCTGTGTATATATCATAATATCTGCCCATCCTTACTATAAGGTTCCTTAAAATACACCTGTCATATAGACCCAGCAAAGGCCAACAAGCCTCACGCACTGGATTACATGTGCCCCAGTGATCTTAGCAAACCAAAGCACAGAAAATGCCTTTCTGTGAAAACAACATTAATATTAGAGAAATCTATTTCTATCAATCTTGAGATACCAGGCACCAAATTTGTATTTGCTTTTGTAGCTCGGTACAGCACATTGTATGTTAACAATTTCTCTGTAGCTTCATTGTATGCATCTTCTCAAACACTATATTGTATGTGTGCTCTTAAAGTAGAACTCAAGCCAAATTCCTTTTTCCAGTCTTGATACAGGTGGGAGGATTTAGAACCTCATCCATGAAATCTCCTTATGAAGGCAGCCATTTTGAGAACTGTCCTTTTTTGGGGAAACTCCCACTTATTGTAGTACAGGGACAGGAAGTGAGATGAGATTTCCGCAGGGTTGCGTTGATGGATTTCAACCACAGAGCATATTCAGCCTCCACTAGATGTAGAAGACAGGCAACTTTAAATTTGCAAAGCTAAATGTGATGCAATATTGTAAAATAACAAGAAAAGGGAAACTGAACTCAGCTATAACACATGAGGCAGTGCATAGTGTTTGTTATTTAAACAGCTGGAAGAACAAGTAGGTATAATTGCCTAGCTGCAAAAATTGTCATTTTACTAAGATTCACAGGCACCCAACATACAAATCTAAAAAAAAAGACCTTAGAAGAAATTGTAATGAGTAAATACTTTGCGAAATAGAGAGAGAGAGAGAAATATAACCAATGAGTAATCTCAACTTAAATGTAGTTTATATGTTTCAGTATTTACTTGTGTTTCTCCTACTGACATATCCTCTAAGAACACCATACAGCAGGAGGAGTGAGACTCCCTTGCAGAAAGATGGATACGTTGGATAATAGTCACCCATAATTAAAATAATTTTTTGGGGGCTGACCACATGACATATTTTTTCAATACAATCATGCATTTAATAGTTTGAGGTTGGTTAATAAAAAATGGGACTGCGATTATCAGGCTAGACATTTGCAGCCAGTGGAACTGAGTAAAAATCCACTAAACAAGCATTAGATTACAAGTAAAATCAATTGGGAGTAATGAAGCTGTCCAAAGATTAAAGCTGTCATCTAAACAGCGAAAAGGTGGTATTAAGCGGTGCATGCCTTTAATAATCTTCCTGAGTATTAGAGTAGCCCCTGAACCCATGCACCTCACTACACAAATACCTCCATTTCAAGGTGAAATGTCAGTGCTATAGCATATCCCCTGCAGTATGAACCTCAGAACATTGCAGAATAAAATAATACATGTGAGGAGTATCTGACTTTGAAGATAGACGCTGTAGTGTGTCAGTTAAGCGTCACAGGCCTAAGGCCTTCCATAGAGCTCAGAGATCGGAGACATGTGCAAAAGACCTCCCTCTGCCTGCTTTTATTTGTTAAGGCCACTTGGTAAGCTTTAAACCAATGACAGGTTTAATGTAAAGGAAACCTCTAGTGAGAGAAATAAGGCTGTTGCCATCACAGATTGTCTTTGATTTGGAATAAAGATGCAGATCAGGAACATGAGAGTGAAGTCAGCTCCTTATCTGCATACTTCTTGGGGACACAAGAATTATGTATTAGGGTTATATTCCTTTAACAACATTGCAACTATAGAAAAATATCTGTAGATCCTGCTGAAATCCAGTGACTTCCTAGCTTCCTATAGAGAGGACAACGCTGCATTGAAAACCCAACCAGTTTTGCCAGTACTGCCTGAGCTCCCCCTAAAAGACTACAAAACACTTTTCCCTTATGCTATAGAAAGGAAGAAGGGAGGAGGTGTTCTGAGGGTCAACAAAAGAGAACCAGGTTGGGCTTGCAACACTGCTTAGGATTTCAGTGCGGTAAAAACACTGCATTGTCAGCTCATTACTACAAGGGTACAATCCCACTGGATATCTAGCAGATCAACAGATACTTTTCTGTACCTGCTGAAAGAAAAGAAACAGGGAAAGCATGTATTGCAGAGATGTACTATATGCTTTTTTTTTTTTTTTTTGCCCACATATATGCTTTAAGAACCATGTCTTACAACTCAGCAGTGGCAGGAATGGAAACATACTTACTTTAACAGATTCAAACAGAATTCAAAGAGGAATTATTTTTTATAGAAATAAAAATGGAAGCCTCCTCTAGGTGGTTTCACTGCTAGCTATGCATTGCCATTAGCAGAACTGTCTGAGTGACATCAGCCTAAAGCCACTGGAGCAGCATGGCAGGCAGGTATTTTAGAAAGCAGAAGTGAGCTATGGCAACTTCCACTACACGTAGTTTCCACTGTAGTGTTTTTTTTTTTCTCCAGTTATTTTAGTTGTAAAGTATCTGAAGTGTTTTTCAGCAACAATACACTTTCATGAACTACTGATAATACGAGAAAAATTTGCAGGCTAATTTAAAGTACGTGTCGAAATCTATTTTATTAAAAAAAAAATGGTCATGTTCAAAAGTCTTGTCTGCTTTATTTTTCTGGGCTGATCTGTAATGGGGCCTTTCACAATGCAAGTAAAAACACATGAATATGTGTGTTAAATCTCCTGCATGTAGAGAGAATGGATCCCTGGTAATACAGTATAGCATCACTATACAGCCACATATTACTGGGAAGTCTCTAGGATATCTGCTGGGAAGGACTGGAGGCAATTCAGTTCAAGAACAATGGTCTTTTTGGCTCAGGTGTAAAACATATGTGCACAAAATTAAAACAATACTTCAAGTATATCATCATTAAAATAGTGCACTTCAAGATCGGTGTGAGTGTGCAGAACAGGGTTGTTTAACTATATATTACAGGGTCTAAAACATAGCAGCAGCTTCCTGTGTCTCTTACAATCTGGCAATGGGCATGATATGACAATGTGCCTGTACTATTGCTGAGGCTAAGAATAATCAGGTTTGATTTCCAGAACTACGACTTTTGTAAAATAGTATAAATAAAGGAAGGAGTTTTATCAAAAAAAATAAACATGACAAAATCAAGTGTCAGCACATGGTAATGAGCCCGAGCCTTCCATCTTATTGCTCTTCTTTTGGTACACAGTTTGATGATTCTTCGGACTTTTGCCTTTGTATTCGGGTCCTGGTGGATGCTGTAAGATAAAAGAATGCCATTTATAAAATACAGAAAATAGTTTGATGGTTTTCCTACACATTCACACAGTCCTAGGTAGATCGTATTGGTTTCATAAGAGTTTATATTTTTCAGCTGCTGACTGTAGAATTCATTACAGTTATTAGGATTATGATCATTCGGTGTGCTCTGGATGGCTTACTTTTAATGGATTACTTTTGGGAAAAAAAAAATTTCCTCGATACTGTTCTTGCATATAAATAAAATGTAATTTACAAAGTAGGGTTGTTACTCATTGCAATTAATCAGGTTTCATCTCAATGTAGTTTTAAATCTGCTCCCTGGTACATTCCCTTTTTGCATTATTGCACCATTTAGATGTCTGTTTATCACGCAGTGTTAAATGACCGCTGCTGAGTTCTCTGGCATTTCCAGAGGAGACAGCTCTCTTCTGATTGCCTGTTTATGAAGCGGTGTAGATCACTTCTCCTAATGAGGAGAGAAGCGATCTACAAATGCTTTGAACTCTTAAACAGCCACTATTGCTGTAATCTCGCAAGATATAGCGAGATTACAGTAACAAAAGATCAGTAAAGCATACAGCCCTCAGTTTATTAAGCAGCAGTAAATTACCTCTGCTGAGTCTTTGTGATCACACACACACACACACACACACTATATTGCCAAAAGTATTGGGACGCCGACCTTTTCGTGCACATGAACTTTATTGGCATCCCAGGGTTCAATATTGAGTTGGCCCACCCTTTGCAACTATAACAGTGTCAACTCTTCTGGAAAGGCTGTCCACAAGGTTTAGGAGTGTGTTTATGGGAATGTTTGACCATTCTTCCAGAAGCGCATTTGTGAGGTCAGGTATTGATGTCAGACGAGAAGGCCTGGCTTGCAGTCTCTGCTCTAATTCATCCCAAAAGGTGTTCTATCAGGTTGAGGTCAGGACAAGACCAGTCAAGTTCCTCCACTCCAACACTGCTCATCCATATCTTTATGGATCTTGCTTTCTACACTGGTGCACAATCATGTTGGAACGGGAAGGGGCCATCCAAACTGTTCTCACAAAGTTGGGAGCATGAAATTGTCCAAAATGCCTTGGTATGCTGACGCCTTAAGAGTTCCCTTCACTGGAACTAAAGGACCAAGCACAACCCCTGAAAAATAACCCCCACACATAATCCCCCTTCCACCAAACCTTGCACTTGGCACAATGCAGTCAGGCAAATACTGTTCTGGCAATCGCCAAACCCAGACACGTTCATCAGGTTGCCAGAGAAGTGTGATTTATCACTCCAGAGAACACGTCTCCACTGCTCTAGAGTCCACTACATCTGACGCTTTGCATTGCACTTGGTGAAGTAAGGCTTGAATGCAGCTGCTTGGCCAACCCATTCCATGACACTCTCTACACTCTGTTGTTGCGCTAATCTGAAGGCCACATGAAGTTTGGAGGTCTTTAGCTATTGGCTCTGCAGACAGTTGGTGACTCCTGCGCATTGTGCGCTTCAGCATGCACTGACCACACTCTGTCATTTTACATGACCTTCTTATTTCGTGGCGGAGTTGCTGTTGTTCCCAGTTGCTTCCACTTTGTTACAATACCACTAACAGTTGACTGCGGAATATTTTGTAGCAAGGAAATTTCATGGATAGACTTATTGCATAGGTGGCAACCTATCACGGTTCCACGCTTGAATTTACTGAGCTCCTGAGAGCGACCCATTCTTTCATAATTGTTTTTTAGAAGCAGTCTGCATATCTAGGTGCTTGATTTTTATACACCTGTGACCATGGAGGTGACTGGAACCCCGAATCCACTGATTTGGAGGGGAGTCCGAATACTTTTTTGCAATATAGTGTGTATGTGAATATGTATTTATATGTATATATTTAGTTAGTTTTAAACTGCTCTAGGGTTTGGAGGGTGTTGTGAAAGGGGGGGGGGGGGGGGCTTTCCTATTGTCTTGGAAGCGTTGAAGGAAGAAGAATAAAGTCCAAAAACGTCCTCCTTCCTCTTCAGTACTCCATCGATTCTCTCTTCTCTCAATTCCCCACCTCTGGGCTGAAGAATCTGGGAGGGAGAATTTTCACACAGATCGCCAGTGAAAGGCTGACATTGCTCTTTCATGAACTGGACATTTGTGTTTCTGTCAGTGATAGATTCTCTGTGTGCTGAGAAGATCTGCAGAGAACATTTTCTCCGCTGATTATTTCTGTTTCATAAACCACCAATGTACTGAAATCAGTAGAGATCTTCAGGATTGCTGCTGATCTCAGTTTCATAAATAGACACCTAAATCTTAAGGTGGTTCTAAAGGAAGAAGGTTTTTTTTGTTTGTTTTTTTTTTACATTAATGCATTCTATCCATCAAGCCAAAAAACCTTCTGGGTTCAGCTCCCCCTCCCCAATACTTATCTGAGCCATATCTCAATCTAGCAAAGTGCATGAGAGCAGCAGGACTCTCTCTCCTTATTGCCTCACACAACAGTGGGAGCCATTGGCTTCTATTGCTGTCAATCACAGCCAGTGAGCCAGTGAAGAGAGAGTGGGCTCGAGCCGTGCTCCATGTGTGAATAGACAATATCCATTCATGGGAGCAACCCATGCCAAGTGCCATCCCAATGGCACTCGGCAGGGGAGAGGAGACAGGACTTATGGCAGGGGACCTAAAAAGAAGAGGATCAGGACTGCTGTGTGCAAAACCATGGCACAGAGCAGATAAGTATAACATTTTAGTTATTAAAAAAAACAAACAAAACTTACAACCAAATCTATCAAAATAATTAATTATGACATTTTATATCTTCTCAATATGATATCTTCAGTATCTTTTTTTGGACATTGACATTCCATGCCAGAATTCCTCTAGCTCTAACATTTTACTAGTTCTGCTCTGTATCTGGCACTTTGATTGCCCAATTGTGTAACGACTGAAGGAAAATATTTGCAGTATTATATAGTTATACTTATAATGGAGCTTGTTTAATTGTGGTATATTGTAAAAATACAGCTTTAGTATCAAATAATTTTATTAAGCTTTGGCTATGACAAGGATACATTCTGTTCACTGGCAATATGTTTAATAAATGATGTATAAGATCAGGATGAATGATTATAATACACCCAAAATCTCAGAGAAAAAAAAGTGTATAAATGTACACAAGACATCCTGGCTCTTATTCTTTACTCTGCTGATCCCAGCATCATATATGGGATAATTTGACATCTCACTAAATAGGGGCCCTTGTGATATACAAAGTCACTATGGTGCAGAGACTCGGTTATTGCCCTGGGAGTAGGGTGGTGCCTCACTCAAATATACACGGGTACCAATGTTTTAAAGAGTAATGTTATGCTCAGCCTAAATATACTATATTCCTACATGTAATAAAAGAATGGAGGATTGTCCACAAAATCCAATCCTCTCACAGCAAAGATGTGCCTTTCTTGCTCAATAAGAATTTCTGTAATTTTTGAAATGACAATTGGGAAACAGAAAACAAGAAGTGAAAGAAGAATCTATTAGTTTTAAAGACCTGATTACTCAATACACTTTTTAAACTGTTCACCAGTAGACATCCTGCCTGTCTTCTGCAGTCCCTTATGTGCATACTTCTCAGACACTCAGCTTTCTCCTACACATTCCTGGTTCTATCTTTGGTATGAGCTCTGCTGTATGAAAAAACTTGCTGCAGCTGTGATCACAAACACAATTAGAAGGAAAATTCACGTTCAGTCTATAATGGAAAAATGTCATATGTATGATAGATGCTCATTAAAACATCTTACAGAAGTATTATATAGCCAGTTACTGTATGTGTTTGCGCAAACTGTGAAGGATGACAGGCCAATTTAAAGTGTTACTAAACCCAGGACCCTGCATTCACTATATCTAGTCTCCCACAGTACACAGAATATGGAAATGCAATTATTTTAGTAAATATAAACTGCTAAATACAGCAGCTAAATTCTCATCAGCAGTATATAGCAGTCTTGTGTCTTCTATCAGTGTTCAGCAGAGCACTGGTTAAAGCTTGTAGGAGGAGTTTTTTTCCTGCTCTAGGGGGATGCAAACCTTGACCTCTGTTGTCTGGGAAGTGCTGATAGGAGAGTGCATGTGATCAGCACAGGACCAAAGAAAAAAAAAACAAAAAAAAACCTCTCTAGTAATACACACCAAATTGAGCATGTGCAGAGTGACTCCACATGATATGTCTTATCAGGAAATAAAAGGGGGGCACTGGAAGAAGGGGAGGATCAGAGAAGTCAAGATCAAACAGCATTTTTACACAATGCAAAGGATTAACCTCTTAGGTTCCACAGTGAGTATATCAAGCATGCTTTACTGCATATACAGAATGATTTTACTGTTGAGGGTTTTGAAACACTAATTATAGCATTTTCTAAGCAATATATTCAGGATGGTTCACTTTTTAAAAAAATTACTTTTAGACTTGAACTCCAGCCTTGCACAGTTGTACAGGCTCTTCAGTGTACTGAAGTGGCTCACTCTGATTTTACTGCACACTGTGAACTTCTCATAGTGTACAATAGAGGCTGCAGCAAGTCAGATAGAGCCCACCTCATTTCCTGACTGGAGGGCAAGCATCACTTAACCCTTTCCTCTCCAGCTTTACTGTCCCTGGACCACCCTTTCCATTAGTTCTTTCAAACATAAAGGCTCATCACCACAGCTTACCAAGGAATACCAACTTCACCAGACTGAAACCCACTTATCAGGGCATCTAGGTATATGCATAACTCCTCCCAAAAACCAACCTACTGCTTGGATTAGGGCTGAAGTCTCAAGAGAAGAATGAAGGCAAAGTGCTGTGATGTTTTAATGAAACTACTGTATGTACAATAACAACCCATTGATGCAGACCAGCCATGACTTGCCTGCATTGCATACAGAAGCACCGAGATCCAGTGATGGCATCAATGGGTCTAAAATAAGGTATGTAGTGAAAATGGAAAGTTTTTTTTAACAAAAAAGGTCATTAGAA